GGCTTCCGAAAAAAGGGTTACTGGGTATGCGTACAAAAGACAAACAATGTTACAGTATACAAAACACCACATAGAAATCGAAATAAAGTTAGGTGTGTTTTGATTGCCAATGAGACAACTATCCACCAGAATTTAAATACAGTTGATGTTAGCAATTATAGGCACCCGTAACTAATACCTAAACAACTAACGAAAAACAAATATGACACACATGAAATAACGGCAACCATTGAATTACAGGCTCCTGACTTGGGACAAGCACATAAAGAATGTGCACGTGGCGGAGTTAAACATGTCTGTGGGTGCTAAACCCTAACCCTACCATGGGTGAATAGTGTAACAGCACAACACAAGAATAAACTGTAATAAACAGCTGCGCCATGAGCGCATGATACGCCCGTCTCTTTTTCAATAACTTCTCAATGTTCTATCATAAATTTATGAAAAACAAAAGGGAGGTCATCTTAATAGATATAAACCAGTCACCAAAGCACTTTGAAAATATTGTCTGATAACTGAAAAATCCCTCATTGTTTTATAAATAATATCCCATAACTCGGAAATGTAAAATCTAAAATTTATAAAAATTGAAAGGGAGCTTGTGTTAATAGATATAAACAATTCCACCAAAGTTTCATAAAAACTGCTGAAAGCATTTTTGAGTTATTGTCCGAAAACTGGAAAATCCCCTTTTTTTAATGAATAAAAACCCATAACTCGGAAACATAAAATCTAAAATTTATAAAAATTAAAAGAGAGCTCACGTCAATAGATATAAACAATTCGCCAAAATTTCTTGCAAATTGGTGAAAGTGTTTTTGAGTTATTGTGCGAAAACTGGAAAATCCCCCTTTTTTAATGAATAAAACCCCATAACTCGGAAACGTAGCATCTAAAATTTATAAAAAACGAAAGGGAGCTCATGTCAATAGATATAAACACTTCATCAAAGTTTCATGCAAATTGTTTAAAGCGTTTTTGAGTTATTGTCCGACATGTTGACGACGGACAGACAGACGGACAAACGGACAAACAGACGGACGGACGACGATATACCATAATACGTCCCGTAAACGGGCGTATAAAAGTCAGATGCAATTGGCTTAACTCTATAGATCGGTATGACTGGGCAATATAAATCCATCAAAATCCTAGGGTGATCTCGGGTGCTCCGGAAGAGTAAGCAGATCCTGCTGAACGTGTGGCGCCCGTCGTGTTATTCATGAAAGTACAAACCCAGTGATTTGGTCTAATTCGGTAGGTCACATTCGAGGAAAAGAGGACGGGATCGTGGTTACGACAACTGGAACATATCCGTCGTCACCTGTGAAACAGATATTCCAAAAAGTTTAGTTTTTTTTTCAATTTAGTGCGAGGTATATCAGAGAATGGAATTTATAAAAATATATATTAAAAGATTGATATTCGTATATGTTCAAATGATAATACACGCTTAAAAAATTCGGTCCTCCGAATTCTTATTTTATAGAATTGATGCTTTGTCGCTTAGTCCGATTCCCCCATTTCCCTGTAACTTTAGTGTGAGTTGATTTAAAGTGTCTCATTTGTTGACAATAAAGTACAAGTCATTTGATGTGTGTCCAGCCTGCGATATTAATGTCGCGGAAGTGAGACACAACAAACCTGTATTCCGTCGTCGGCGTCTTCATCATTTAGATCGTTAGGTTACTCGTTTGAATTGTTTTTACATTTGTCATTTCTGGACCTGTTATAGCTTATAATGCGTTATCGGTTTTGCTCATTGTTGAAGACCATACAGTGACATATAGTTGTTAACTGCTACGTTATTTGGTATGTGGTGGAGAGTTGCCTCATTGACAATCATACTTCTTATTTTTATATAAGTTTTATTTTCATTAAATATTACCAAATTAAACTATTTTGTCCTGATAATTTTTTAAACCTCCATGAATTGTTATAAAACTTGTACTATATCGAGATAAAACATGTACAGAAAAATATTTTTTTTTTTTTTTTTTACCGATAAATGTACGTTTTACAGTAAACATTGCACTTTTACAATGACAGAAGCAATCTCAGGCGAGACAACAGGGTTCCGTGGAATTCTTCACGAATTTATTTTGATAATAAGGGAAAAAACCGACAGGACCAAGTGGTTTGGGGATATCCCCCTTATGTCCGAAATATTGATATTTTTTTTGCACTTTTTTTCTTATTTTTCCTGCCGTTCCCCTTTTTCATACCAAATAGCTCTGAACAACAACTCTAACTTTTATTTGAACTTTCACTCAATGGATAGCGACACTCATCCGAAGCACATTAAACATACGACATATGGAAATCGGGCTAAAAATAAAACTATTTTTTTCCAAAATGGTCACGTGGCTTTACCTCATAAGCAATGTGATAACCACATTAAAGAATGACAGGACCACATCAAATACAGGAACAAACACATCATGTTGTGTAAAATCGTCAAATTTTGAACCATCATTATGTAATGTTAAAGCCATATGAAGAATTGCAAATCATCATTACGAAATAACAAAACCACATCATGTAATGAAACAAATACATAACGTTAAGCCACATACTCATCAAGTAATGTTAAAACCACATTGCCTAATGACACAACCACATTAAATAATGATGAAATCAAATCGAATTATGACAAAACCATATTAAGTAATGAAAAAACAATATGAAGTCAATACGAAACCATATCACGTAAAATCGAAATATCATTAAGTAAATTAATGACTATTCCATATTGAGTTATATCAAAACATCATTACGTAATGTCAAAACCATATTATGTTAAGACAAAATATCATCAAATAATAATAAAACAACATAACGTAATATCAGAGTACCACATAAGACAGTGTGGCTTTCCATAGTAAAGGAACCATGGTCTTTTATAATGCCAAAACAAATCTGTACACAATTTTAATGCAGAAAAAATTAATAAGTTTTCGATTTGACAAATTGTTCCGATATAAATACCAGACGCATTAATAGACAAACAGAATAGTTATACATTATCAATAAGTCAACTAAACTGACAAACAAAACAAGATATACATTATTATACAAACAAAGCAATCTGTAAGGCACTTGTAAATTAATCTTAATCTTCTACGGTCATGTTTATCTTTACTGCACCTGAAAAGTCTGAACATAAAAAGGTTTTGTCTTATCAAGAGTTTACGTTACTTTTCATATATTTTCTTGCTGTAAATTCGGTTTTGTACAGATATTTCGTATGCCTTCAATCCAGTATGGTCAGTAGCTTTTCAGACGATTCCGTATGTAGCTGATTTGAACAGATCAATAACAAGTACTGAACAGTCTGAACATACACTGAACGGATCTTAATTGACTGCAAGCGAACTCTCTAAACAGTACTTAATTTACCGCAGTGGATAAGTATAAACATTCACTTAAAGACTTTAAATGACTTTTAAGAGCTGTTCAGATCAAATAGGCAGTTTCAATTTAAAGTCGGTTAGCAAGTGAGGGTTTAAATTTTCATAAATTTTGACATCAGGAAAAATTTCAGGATTTATTCTAAGCAAAATTAATATCATGTTTCGTTAAAATTGGAACGTACTATGATCTGTTTTATTTCTTTTGGCAGTCATTTGAAAAATTATTGCAGACAGCTATTTTTTGTCTCTCCTTGACGGAGTCAAAAAGTGAGACATAGGTATGCTGTTTCCGGCGTCGGCGGCGGCAGCGTCAACAATGTATTAGTTTATAGTGAACCACTAGTGGCAGGTCAATGATATTTGGTATGCAGTTATATTAGCATTGGCACATCTCATTACCATGGAGATTATTTGGCCCCACCCCCTCAGTCATGGTCGATTGACTTTGAAACTTTGCTTTGTTTACATGTATTAGTTTGTGATTATGTCAATTTATGGGGAACCATTAGTGGTAGGTCAAAGACATTTGGTATGCAAATGTATTGGCATGTGCAAGTTTCATTTCCATGGAGATTATATTAGGCCTATCTCCTCATCATGGTATTGGATATGAATTTGAACTGTAGTGTTAGCAGGGTTTGCTGAGGAAACCGTGAAAAGAATTGACAAATAAATACAACAGGAGCGGTACAATAATTTAATATGGTAACGTTTCAATAAATTGTAATAAAGAGGTGTTGCAATTGCCAATACCAGAGGGGTACGCCCCAAATAAAGCAATGCGAAAGCTTTGTAAAGGAAAACCCTAACAATGATTCGGATCAACAACAAAAAGTAGTAGGTGCACAAAAGCATAAGATTGTTAAGATCGAGAAAAAGTTTCGATAAAATGTTATAAGGGGTTTAGTAGGTTGCGGATACAAAATATGTACCCCAATATAAAGGCATGGCAAAGTCCATGCTTTGGTTAGAGAAACCCCAGAACTGATTCAGATAAAAAAAACATAAGATGGACGATCGATTAATTGTGATAATGGGTTAACGTGACCTATAGTTGTAAACTTCTATGTCATTTGGTCTCTGATGGAGAGTTTTCTCATTGGCAATCATACCACATCTTCTTATTTTTATAATTAAGGGGAGTTGCAGATACAAAATAGTTACTCCCCAAATGTGTATTATAGTGCGCACATATGACTAAATCCATGCATCCCAAATATCATTTTAATGAATAAATCAAATTAAATGCAAAAGTATATTATAAGAATAATTGACGGAATTAAAAAGAAAATATGTTATGAATACTTTTGTATTCTGCATACTAGGATGTTTTGTAAGTTTTCCGTGGTGTATTATTGTTATCTTTACTTGCGCTGTTGAAAAAAAGTACGTTTCCGAATATTTGAATCAAAGTGCTTACGTATTATCACTCTACATCGAACAAAATTTTTAAAACTGCTTAGAATAACTTTAAATATATATAGTTAAAACAAATAATTTACAAAAATGACATTTCTGATCCATTCTAGTCTGCGTTTCGATCTTTTTATTTAAATTCAAGTTTTTTCTCTGAACTACTTTACTTACTTTCATTGGCAATTTCTTGTAATTTCCTGTATTTCTTATGAAAGATCAAAATTCCTAAAAGACACAATATGATTAATCAATTGTATAATTCGTGTTGCTCAGTCTTCATTTTTTTTATGTTGAGTTCTGTGTTCTATTGTTTGTCTATTTGTCTTTTTTCTTTTTTAGCCATGGCGTTGTCAGTTTATTTTCGACTTATGAGTTTGAATGTCCCTTTGGTATCTTTCGCCTATCTTGTCTAAGTATAACTACAATGTATGCTGAATTAAAAAATCATTAATAATGGTTCGTGAAACTGTAACTGTCCATCACCTTAGTTATAACATCAACAAGAAAAGTAACGAATGTTAATTTAGGTAACTATTACAGTTTTATTGTCGATTGTCCAATATGCATATTAACAGTCTTTTATGGTAATATTCTTTACAAAGCACAAAAATGTCAGTATTCACCTCAAAAGCTAACAAAACCTTTAAACAGACTTATTAAGTCTTTGTTAGTCTTGTATCATTTTTAATGTTAGTTTCTTGTGTATAATTGGAGTTTAGTATGACGTCCATTATCACTGAACTAGTATACATATTTGTTTAGGGGCCAGCTGAAGGACGCCTCCGGGTGCGGGAGTTTCTCGTTGCATTGAAGACCCATTGGTGGCCTTCGGCTGTTGTCTGCTCTACGGTCGGGTTGTTGTCTCTTTGACACATTCCCCATTCCCATTCTCAATTTTATCATCAAGGGGCGATACGAGAAAAATATTTTCCACCGCTTATCTTGTGATTTTCCACCATTAAATCTACTTTTGAAATTGGAAAAGTTATTATTGCAATAAAACTTTGAAAATCAAAACTTAAATACAAGAAAAAAAAACTGTTACTTTCCCATTACAATTTGAATTTTTGACGGCACTTTTCTCTCTTTCCGCATCATATGGCTTGTACATTTCACAACTAACGGTTTTCTATAATATCGTCAGATGAAGCTAACTTAAATATACGAAAGTTTGCATAAACACAAAAGCTGGGTTTATAGAGTCACGGATAGTACACAATCTTTATTACTTAGAGAAATCAGAACATGTACAGTCGATATCAGAATCTTCTTTGTTAATATAATGTTGGCCTGAAAACTAAATATTAGACAGTTCTTATTATCTCACTTCTTATTGTAATGTCGTTGATAGAACGATAAAACTGGAATATTATATAATCAAACTCGGGAAGTGTTTTTTCTTAATCTATTCAACAGTAAGGGACATAGGCGTGATAGACTCGCTAGTTCAATAAAAAAAAATCGAAATTCTGTCGATTTGAAAAATTAGGGGTACCTCTCACAAATACTGACGATTTCAATAAAACAGTATATGTTCCTGTTCAGACTAACGGTCAGCTGTCGCTTGGCCTTCTTGGTTAATGATAGTACGGTTGGGTTGGATGTAAGTAATCGTTAAATATCTTGAAGAATGATATAAATAGCGAAAATAGAACATGAACATAAATGTTCAGATTTTACTTACTGTTCTTTTTAATAAAACCTGTCATACAACTTAAGTTATTGTCTGTAATTAACGATTTGCAACAGTTTTAGTGTTTTTGGATATTCTATTGAAAACTGTACTTCATGAAGAGAAAGTTTAAATAAATTGAAAAAATGACCAAAAAGAAAAGATCTACGAATAGGGCAAATGGCCGAATCGTAAGTCGACGTCTTATAAGAGTTATTTCCCTTAAATGGTGAATTTTACCAGTTTTGCTTTCATTGTTTTTTCATGTTGTTATCTTGAAATCTATACATGTCATAGATAACGGAAATACGATTAATGGTTCCATTTGTAATGCGACAGTTGCGTATTTCGACAGTTAATGTCTTTTTAGTTCTCCCTTCAGTTATGCTCGAGCCTGAAATATTTTAAACTCAAAACTTTATACAATCGTTGGAAGAGCTGATAAAATCAAAAAGAACCTTAACTGTTAGTTTATAAATTGTAAGAAATAATGGCCTTTAAAGAAAATATCTCAACTCTCCCAATCTTATCTACCCTTCTAAGCTAATAGAAGATGTGTTTATAATATTTAAGAAAAAACCTACCTTGAAGAGATAACAATGCAAATATCATGAGGAATATTGTTATCACTGCTCTCAGTCTCCAGTGATGTAAATCTGAAAGAATATAAATTAATAGCAATCACTCTATGTTAGGAAATTAATTTACGGATGTTACTGGCGTTCGTTGTTTTTTTTTTATTACTGTAATATGTGTATATTATAAACCAAATGTCTGCTTAAAAGAGAGGCGAAAGATACCAAAGGGATATTCAAACACTTTAAGTCAAAAATAAACTGACAACGCCATGGCTAAAAAAAAAGACCAGCAGACAAAAAGCAGTACACAAAACACAACATAGAAACTTAAAGACTGAGCAACACAAACCATACCAAAAACTGGGGGTAATCTCAGGTCCTCTGGAAGGATAAGCAGATCCTGCTCCACATGTGTCACCCGTTGTGTTGCTCATGTAAGTACAAACCCGGTGATAAGTCCAACCTGGTAGGTCACATTCGGAGAAAAGGGGACTGATATAGTTTTTTGAACGCCTCTGTAAGTTTAGAATAATTATAACCGCGTCATGTTAATTCTTAAATGTGTACAGCGCATTAAACTTTATCATTTTTGGCAAAGTTGACCTTAGATGGATTTGGCTATTTTCAGTTCCTTTTTGGTCATATAGCTCTTCAACTGTTTCGGTTCTTATACATCCTTGGCTTTCAAATATTTGCCTTTGAGCGTTCCTGGTGAAGGTTAAGCCAGAAAAGCGCTTCGGACGCATGAAATTTATAACGTCTTGTTTTCATTTTTTGACATTGGAACTTGGTTGTATCATCTTTTTAATCACATACAAACAGAAAAACACCTTCCTCTCTTATAATATTCTGTCATTTGGAACTTAATGCGCATCTTGTTTCAATTCTTGTCATGCTAGTGAGGTTAATCCGAATATCAGAAGAGTTATATGCTGCGCCATATAGTGGTAACAAATTAGTGGGTTTTTTTTAACAATTATTTTATACCAATATCCAAACATCAAACATTGCAGCGTTTCTTTTGTCCAAAAGTAAATATTGTATCTATTATTTTAATCTAATTAAAATTAAATGTCCGCACTCGCTCATATTTTCATGACTGGTTGCTGCGTTGGAGATCTAACAACATCCCATTAAAGTTCGCGTCAGAGGTCAAAATAGATTGTTCAATCAAAATCGAGCTCCCAAAATCTTTGCTGTGACGTAGACTGACGCAGTCAGTTGAAATTTTTATCGACTTCCCGCAAAGGGAGATCATTTATAACAACAACCTAAACAAAATGGTAGCCCCAGTTAAAATTTAACAAATGGCTTCGGGTGAATTTTCTACACTCAGACGACTATATTGTCGATGAAACGTCTGTTCTTTACGCAGCAACCAAGCATAAAAAAATGAGCGAGTGCGGAGATTTAACTTTAATTAGATTGCTGTTATTTTTAATATAATAAGCTCAAAAATTGTCATGTTAAGATACGGTAACCTTCAAGATCATATGTCCCTTAACAAAATGCAAAAGACCATGAGGTTTTCTCATATACTTGAAGCTATTACCCGTGAATCACAATTTCAAGCGAGCATTTATAATTCCTATAATCAATAACATCCCAAACCATCTTCTTTATTTCTTTCCTTGTAAGTCTCGAATAGTTTCAGTGCACTTTCGATATCATTCAAATAAAATATCAAAATCTATAACGTCAAATGAATATTTGATCTGAGTAATTTCAAGGTCAAAGGTCAAGGATATCAAATCAAACGACTCAATGTCTCTAATACTCAATAAGTAAATTCTATCAAACAGCTTATTCTAAATATTTAAGGGGTAGAAAACACCCATAAATAGTTACCAGACCACTTGGAACTAAATGTTGTTGCGTTATGTCATAATTTACAATTTGATAAAAACCTTAATTAAGTTGATTACTTTTACAATTTTCTGAGGAGAAGCAATCAAAGTTCAAAATGAAGAACAAGCCCTTAACTTCAGATATTGACCTGAATGTCCTGCTAATGGACCAAAAACCGAAAACAAAAGACTCTAGTCTCCATGACTTACGTTTAAGAGTTGGCCGATAGAAAATGTAACACTAAATTCAAACATATACTTAACAACAAAATTATTTTCATTTACCTGTGTATAATATGACGCAAGTTTCTTCAAAAGTGATGATTTTCTAAAAATTGTTTGACATTTGACAGTGATATCATACTTTAACTTTGTTTAAACCTGTTTATTTACTTTTGACTTTAATTATGTATCCCTTAAAGCGCTCGGACTGAGACGATATAACACACACTTTCTTATGGCATTCAAGTTTTCGTCCAATTTTCTGATTTTAAAACTGTTCAGTAAGAAAGCTCTGTTGGACAACCAGAACTTTTTTCCACCCTTGCAAAGAAAGGAATGCCTACGGCAAAGTTCATGATTGCCTGTGTAACATGCAAGTATGGCATCAACGGTGAAAGAGATTTTATTCTTCACTTTGACAAAGTCACCGCCATATTTTTCCATGGCCTGGGTAAACTCCGACTGACATCTCTCAGCTAAATCCAGAGCGAAATTGTTCAAAAGCTTTTCACGGTCTTTTTTAGTTCTGCCGGGCATTATTTCTCCCAATTCTTTATTATTCTTGATGTTTTTTCTGTGATTATTTAAAAAAATGCCTGGTATCTAGAACATGTTCTGGCTCTGTAGATGTTGTATTTTCAAGATACAAGTCATCTGCTGCTCTATGAGCAGAGCTATCTGGATCTGTTGTTAAATGTTTAGCTTCAATACCATCACTTGCAAGATCTTGCAGAGCTTCTTTTGCCCATGTGTACTCATCTCCTATGCTTTTCATGAATGTTAAATTTGAATACATGCAGAGGTGATTTGATTGGATGAACTGAACAAAGTTTATTTTTGCAAACAACTCCTATAATGCTTTTATCTTCTGTTTCAGCTTCTACAACAGAGTACACCACTTGTGTAGCAGGCTGGAATGGGGTTTTTCCAATGCCGGAATATATTGCATTGTTGTATGCACCGTCAGCCTGTAGACTTACAGATACAGGATCTTTTCTTCCTCTGAGTGTATTAATTGCAATCAGCTGCTTGCGTCGCGCTTTCATGTCTTTCTTATTTATATTTACTATTTCAGGTAGCACTTCATTTGCCCTCTTTTGTAGTCCTGAAGTGGATGGAGCTGGCATGTTACAGCCAAGTACTATTTTCCGCAAACCAGTATATCCAAGTGGTGTTTGACTTAATGCTGCTTGGGCGGATACATTTATCTTGGCTGCCTTCCTTCCTGGTTTTTTGGTTTGCACTTCTTCATAGAGTTTGAACTTTCTCGATCGATAAGTGCATTTGTCACACATTGCCTCTTCACGATTAACAAATCCAAACTTTTCTTCTCTTTCCATATTCCACTGTAAAAATCCATTACAATTGGGATGAAGTCTTTGGTGTTCTCTAAATACAGAGTTCCACATTATTGCATTCAGTCTCACGTTTACTGTTCTATTAGATGAATCTTCAGACCTAAAATTTAATAGAAAAGAATGCCATAAGAAAGTGTTTTTCTACCTGTAACAGTAGTTTCTAAATGTACTTCAAAATATTTGTGAATTACCTCCCTTTGATCACAATTTTATTTTTGGCACAAATATAAAATGGAATTTCTTGGTATTATGAAGCTAAGCAGGTTGAAGTATCAATATTTTCTTTTAAGTTAAGCATATATTTTATTAATTCAATAAGGTACAAACAACAACAAAATATTATTTCAAGGGAAATTTGTAGATTTAAAGAACTAATAGGCATTTTCAATCCGCTTTTAGAAAAATTATTTAAAATAGAGTTAAATAATACCTATGTTCATATTAACTGGTATTTTGATATTTTATGTTATTACTTTAATTATCATTTAACCTACCTTTGATTTTCTTTGCTGATTTCATTGTTTTTTTCAATTTTAGGAGCAGCATCCCTTGGTCGCAACAGAACAGCAGGTTTGGTGTCATTTATAGATTGAGTATCGGTATCCTTATATGGAATGTTTTGCACAAGAGTAGTCATTTTTCTGGTAAGTCTTTTATAAACTGTTTGTGTTGTGTCACTTTTACTTGGTTTTACAGTTTTTCTTTGTCTAATGTAAGGCACAGTTCCAGTTGGAAAACCTGAATTATTTCCCTTTCTGAACTTGGTCATTTTAATATGTAGAATTTATTTGTAATCCGTGAATGTAACTGTTAAAGGAAAAAGTTTGTGAAAGTTTGGGATTCTGTCTTTACTTTTATATTGGAAATTTGGTTAAAATTTGCATCTTTAATTTGAAAGAAAGGCACCAAACAGAACTCTCATACAAAATTATCATAAACAGAGAGAGATAGCAGTACAGATATAATTTTTTAATTCTTACAGCTGCAATGACAGATATGATAAGATAATTGATTCATCATCTCTGGTCAATGTCTTATCTGTTTGGTGTAAGGTTATGGTTTTTTAGTGCATTAAGTTGTTTCAGATTAAACTTTTAATACTTCAAAATTAAGAAAATTGTAATTTTTTCCTGTAGTTTTCAATTCTTGGGTAGAATCTACCCCAATTATCTGACAGCTGATGTTAGTGTTTTATGTGAAAGTCATATCCACTAGTCTATTGATAAAACACACAGACTTATTGCTTTTGTATATTTAATAAGAAAATGAATAAGTTTTATTTGGCAAAAAAGTCAACTCCCAGCTTCACATTTCCTCTGCCGTCATTTGGGGTACATGTCGAACTTTTCTTTTTTCTTCGCTTGTAAGTGATCGACATCTTTTGCCTACAACTTTTCCATTACTAGATATAACAAATATTCATTTGGCCAAAAATTTGCTAGATTCTGGGCCCTTTTTTTGATTCTATAGGTTACAATCTACCATTAGCTCTTATATGAGATTGGGGAATTGGGGCAGTAGGATTTTGGATATTAATATTCTGGCCTTGTTAATAACTTAGGAAAAGACGGGGAGAAAATCAATATTTTGTCCAACGAAATGCAGGACAATGCAGGAAATAATTGTGAATGAAAATAATTCGTACTAGCAA